TTTGATTTCAAAAGATTTAGCAAGTTTCTTCTGAGTTTTCAAAATATCCAAATGAATCATAATTTTGATATTAATCATGATGTTCCTCTTGAAAATATTGAGAGACATAATTTTCATGATAAGAAGGTTCTTGATGATAGGAGTATGAATCCAAAGCTGATTCATTGGTTGTAAGTCCTTTAGAAACAAAAAACGTGCTTGACCATTATTGTTAAAGAAGCTGGGTCTATTCACGAGACGATTATTATTATTCGACCTAATAGCGGAAGTAGACACAGGCGCACGTCTGAAATTTTGTTTATTTAGATTGGGAGCATCAAAATTTTGATTAGCGTGGAGTCTCGATCTAAAAGCTGGGATATTTGAGGGGCGTTGCTCATTATAGGCATATGCATGCTCTGGGGACTAAATGGGAGTCGGGGTTGATTCATCAGAGTACGTCTCCATGAGTGTTGATTTTGGAGTGTGGCTGCATAAAATTTGGCTTGGAGCTTTGCAAATTTGGTCTTGTTTGAGGAGTTAGCAAAGTCTTTAAAGCTAGATTGCAACTGCTAATTATCATAGTCGTAATAAGCAGAAATAGCGACTTCCAATGTTTCAGGCTTGAAGAGTAACAGAACAGAACAATAGGGTTCTCGTAAGAAAGTAAGAAGGCCAATTTTTTATGAAAACCTAGTATAGAGATTTGAAATGATGACATTTGGGTATTCTAATCTGGCATGTTCTCGTAGAACATGTAATTTTCTGAAAATGTCATTATAAAAGGTGGTATAATCAGAAGTTTGTGTTAGCATGTTTAATTCGTTGGTCAAACTAATCTCACTTCTACATTCTCTTTAATTGTGAATCAAAGTGTTATTGACTACCTCCCAAGTATTAGGATTACCCTGTAAGACCAATTCTCTTGCTGCATCTTCTAGTTGTGAGACGGCGTAGATCAAAGCCTCTTGTTGGAAAGGGGATCGATTAAATGCGATCAAAAATCGTTCACAGTTTTAAATATATTCAGCTAGATTGTTAGTTTCACGTGAAAATCTTGGCAAACTATCTTTTAATAAATCAAATTCAAAAAGATAATCGTTAAAATTCAAAGTCATTTCAGATTCTGATGGGATCTGACTCTAATCCTTGTAACTGAGTTTGAGTTGAAAATTGGGGAATATACTTGTGGTTCCCTTCTTATAGTAAAACGATTTTGAAAGTGCATTAAAATTAGTATCAAGAATACAGGATAAAAGTTTGTTACTTAAAGAAATTATGTATTTTAACCAGTTAAGATATTAACGAAGGCTTACGCATGGATGATATTAGAAAAATGATTTTGGCGGTCCGGTAAGGGCTGTCCGAAGAAAGACACGTGACAGTCGTCCAGAAATACTTATACTCCTTTATCCTCCAATCATTGTATATGATCCATTTGAAGAACATGCCCTGGATTCTCTTTAAACGCGAGCTATCGATATATCAGAATCCTTCCTGAAAAGTGCTTTTGTCGTTCAAATAATATAGGAACAAGGTTCATTCAAAAATGGAACTATTCAATAGAATTAAAAAAATTGAAAACAAGACTGCAACATCTCAAGTTTCGATGTGTGGCAGGAATTAAAAAATGAGTCAACTGTATTTAAGAAAACACTCTGAGAAATTAGACTACGCTAATGGGATCAGGTAAATTTATATGTTTTGTCTCCGCTGGCATATTCACCTTGATTGGTAAGTTCACTTCCTATGTGACCATTCACTGCATTTGAACTAAATATCAAACCTACTAGGTACTACAAAAAAGCTAACACTCTACAAATCTTATTTGCTCTTTATGCCTGTTCGTACTATTACTTGACTTTTTAACTATTCAAAATTCTCTCTCAAATCGGTATCTCTCGAATGTTAGATGGAAATCACCCTCATATCAAGTTGATAGTATATATATAAAATAGGAAAATAATGGGCAAAATCCGCAAAAAGAAGGAAAGTGGATTCGAGCAGGAAATAGGATAGGTAACCCGAGCTATACGTATTTCTGCTCGTTGGCTTCATCAGACCCGAAATGAATGCACATATGCAACTACAAAAGTAGATACACATGCTCATACATCCGGATACGGGTGTAACCTGACTAAACAAATATGGAGAGGAAAAAAAATCACACACGAAGTCCACAACAAGAGCCAATCTACACATTGTAGTATAAAATGGCTGGAAGACCTCGAATTTTCAAGGCGACATCTAACCGCAACCACGCGGCCGGTTATAGCCACTTGCTGTGGTACTTCAAGCCCAAAGGATCTACAAAGACAAAATGATCATGCAGAGAAAGGCAAACAAAAAATAGGAAAATAATGGGCACAATCCGCAAAAAGAAGGAAGGTGGATTCGAGCAGAAAATAGGATAGGTAACCCGAGCGATACGTATTTCTGCTGGTTGGCTTCATCAGGCCCGAAATGAATGCGCATATGCAACTACAAAAGTAGATACACATGCTCATACATCCGGATACGGGTGTAACCTGAGGAAACAAAGATGGAGAGGAAAAAAAATCACACACGATGTCCACAACAAGAGCTAACCTACACATTGCAGTATAAAATGGCTGGAAGACCTCGAATTTTCAAGGCGACATCTAACCACAACCACGCGGCCGGTACTTCAAGCCCAAAGGATCTACAAAGAGAAAATGATCATGCGGAGAAAGGTATATAACAAAAAATAGGAAAATAATGGGCAACATCCGCAAAAAGAAGGAAAGTGGATTCGAGCATCAAATAGGATAGGTAACCCGAGCGATACGTATTTCTGCTGGTTGGCTTCATCAGGCCCGAAATGAATGCGCATATGCAACTACAAGAGTAGATACACATGCTCATACACCCGTGTGTATACACACTTTTCCAGAACAAATTAATTAAGCATTTTGGTAATTTGGGTTGAGGTTGACCGAGCGTCTACAGTTCCACGTTCCACCGCGTCAATCACATGTCATCTGTCGACGCATTATTTTTCCATTCCGTCGCCCTCTCCACGTGTAGCGGAAGTAGCAGGTTCGAAACTGCATTCCGATTGTTTCCCCAAAATGTCTTCTCGTTAATTGATAATTTTTAATATGTTCGGTTGTATTGATAGTTTTAACACATAACGATGGTATCTATCGTTATCAATAAGCCCAATGTTTCCGTCCGATTGTTTTTATATTTGTAACAAGTGCTCTCATCTCTACGTTCGTTTTGAAACACCATTTGGCTGCATCCTCAACGACAAGTAAGTTGTTTGACAATTTAAGTCGTTCCTGTATTGGTTGCTAGCATCACAATTGTGTTTTCAGATCCTGATGAAGGCTCCATAGAGAATGCCGAAAGCTGGATTTTATCATCAAAAGAGTCTAAAGTTTAAAAGTTTGCAATTTTCCCAATTAACAATTAATTGCATTTTTTGCCCAACTGGTCATTGGCAGTGGCAATGACTACGGCTCATATATATATATATATATATATATATATATATCATCATAGAATTTTCGATCAGGGTTTGCCTCAGAGCGAATATAGAGTCTACTTTTGATTATTTACAAATTGTGGGACTAACTTCTGTACTTAAATCTAGGCATTTTTCATTGCTCCACTCCGATCTGAAAGATAAATGATTAATTTGATTTTTATTTCAATTCCCTCAGTAGTCGCGTGCAAATTCAATGAAATTAATCAAGCTTACGTAGTTTTCGTCGACATTTTCTATCTTCTACAAGTAAACGAAGTAATAAAACAAAAAAAGAGGAAGTCAAAATGAACCGCTCCACTAAATAAGTAATCACTGCGGCGCCTTGCGTCAACACGTTGTGTCGGTGAATCGCATTTCGCAGATGACGCGCGTCGCTGTTGCTCGCGTTTGTTGTGTGGGAGTTCAGATGACACGCGTACGACTTCGCACCACTTTTATATAGAGTGAGACATGGTGATCGAGTGCCAGTTTATTGTGTTTAATCAACGAGAATGGACGTGGGAGAAGCTGTTCAAATTTGGCTAGCATATCGAAGAAGTAAACGACGTAGGAGGAAAAGGACATACTGGTTTTACCCAATTTTAAGGAAGAGTTTCTACAAGTTTATACCTTACACTATATCCTAGCCTTCGAAAGCATGAACCTAAATTATTCAACTGCTTTATGATGTCAATAAAATCGTTTGATAACTTACTGTCCATCATTAAGGATGATATTGTAGCAGATAAAAATGCAGTAAGGTATTGCATTTCACCAGAAGAAAAACTCATTGTAACACTAAGCTATGTTGAATGCACGTTTGGTATTGCGTGTAACAAATGGCGAATATTACACCGGCCACTGGATGTAAACATAGAACTCGCAGAGGGTATTGTTAAGACAATATGTATTTTACAAAATTACGTACGAATTAATGTTGGATATAATTTTGAAGATATACTAAACACACCGCCACTGACAACATTAAATCGGTAATATAAAGGATGTAGATAGGGTTGGAGTAAAATTGACAAAGTACTTTGCGAATGAAGGGAAACTTGAATGGCAGGATACAATGTTCTAAATTGTTGTCTTTATTGTAAACATGAATTATAAATAAAGTATTACGAACAACCGTAATATTTTCTTTTTTTCTTCGTTGTCATCGGATTTGAAAAAATTAGGACCTTTTCCTCCCGGGCGCTTCTTTTTGCCGTCTTATTTAAGTATAACGTGAAATGCATGACCCGAATCGCTGGCCTCTTTTTAACTTCTTTAATGAAAATATCGGTGTTGAATTATTCTACTTCCATTTCACTTACTACCATACGTAAGGAATTATTTCTTTGCAAGACACACCTGGTCTGTCGCCTGAATGCTAAGAAAGACGCACGCCAACTGAACAGGCAATGGGAACGTCTAGTATATCAATACGCGCAATGACGCTGACCGACGCGCGTATTGAAATTCTCCGCGGCTAGTGGCGTCGTATGCGCGGATATTGAGCGGCTACAGAACAATGTCCACTATGGCCGCTCAAGTAATAGCTGGAATACCCCCAGTTACTCTGCTCATAGAGGAAGGGCTCCGCCTGTACAGCAGGGATGATGACAAGCTTCGTACTACCAGGTTGCTGGAAAGAAGCACAACTTTGGAGAAATGGCAGCGTGTGTGGAGCGACCACTCAGAGACGGAAATGTGGAGCAAGACTCTGATCCCGGACGTAAGACAGTGGGTTAGCTGTAAACATCGAAGGCTAGACTTCTACTTGACCCAGTTTCTATCGGGCCATGGATACTTTGGGGATTACACCAAAAGAATGGGAATCACGAAGGGCAGCATCTGCGGTTATTGCGGAGAGGAGGACTCCCCGGAGCACACAATCTTTGTGTGTCAAAGATGGGCCGCATGGAGGAGCAATACAGAGTCAGTTATTGGTGCGGAGGTCAATAGCAGAAGCATCACCATACTCATGATGAAAAGTAAGGAGAACTGAAACACAATACAGAGGTTCGTTCATAATGTGATGAACGCAAAGCGCAGTGACGACATCTTGCACTAGCAGAAGAAGCGAGCATATCCGCTGCGAATGCATCTGAAGACATACCGCAACAAGTGGTGCTACCGGATGTAGTCGTGAGCCAGAGGCGGTGGTTTAGTGGGTAGTCAGTCTACTAGAATGTAGCTGGAGTCCCACACTCCCATGCGCGCTGGAACCACGGCGTATGGGGTCCGTAAAATGGATTCCACCTCCCGGTCCCCCTAGAACCACTAAAAAAAAAACTACCGCTTTGGCACGGGTTTGTGACGAAGTACTAACAGCGGCGGATAGGCAAGAAGCAACTGCATTAGTATTATTGGATTTCAGCAAGGCTTTTGACACCCTGAATCATAAGCTGTTAGTTTCTAAATGTAAATACATTGGGTGTGACGACTTGGTTCTGGAATGGATAGATTGCTATTTAAATGAACGACATCATACAAAAAAACTTTCAGACAAAAGCCGATTTGTTCCGGCGTGCCTCAGGGATCCATATTAGGTCCACTTTTATTCCTTATATACACCTTTGACATTTTTAACACCCTTCAACATTGTTCTAGTCAATCATATGCTGATGATATGCAGGTTTTTCATAATTTCTGTCCGAACAACTACCATTTAGCTAACAACCTTATCAATCAAGATCTGCAATACTTATGCACATATGCTGCAAAACATAATTTACGTCTAAACGCATCGAAATCGACAGCTATACTTTTTTGCTCCAAGGAAAAACGTACTTTCCTCAAATCAAAGTTAAATTTATCACTAAATAATAGTATCCTAATATTGTCCCATTCTGCAAAAAATTTAGGTTTGTACTTGGATGAAGATTTCAGATTTCAGGAGCATGTAGGCTATGTGTGTAAGTCTAGTTATTTCAGACTCAGGCTTCTATATGCAAGTAAAACTGTTTTAAATAGAATTAAGAAAATGTTATGCGAGTCACTCATACTCAGTAAAATCGCTTACTGCAACATAGTTTATTATCCCTGTCTGGATGAAATCACAAAATACAGACTGCAAAAAATTCAAAACTCATGTAGTTGCCTAAACAATTTAAGAAGGTACGATCATGTTTCTCACTCAATATCTTCAATGAATTGGTTGAAAATTTCTGATCTTTTCAAATACAACTGTGTTACATTTGTCGAAAAAATATTAAAAACTCCTGTTCCGGTTTATCTTATGCAAAAGCTTGTTCGTAGGAATTTTATTCACAATTTGAATACGCGCAACATTAATCTCCTGACAATGCCACAACATAGGACAGCCATTTTTCAACGGTATTTTACGTATATTGCGGTGAAATTGATCAACTCTTTCGAACAATGTTTCATCAGCAACTTTTCTAAAAAAAAATATAAGAACTACTTATTGAGCTCTTAGGTTATTGTCCTCTCTTTGAATCGTACGTATTATGTTTTTTGTTCTAATCGTACGCATTATGTCATATTGATTAATTCTTCTTTTACTATTATTCTTCTTTTCCTTTTCTTTTTCAGTTTTTTTATTTTATTTTTAAGGTAGTAATAAGCATTGCATGACATTTATGGTTAAGTTTAAATGGCCATTGGCCAGACTTCGCCATTTGTAAGGATACATAATTATGTATGTGTTACAATAAAGTCCATTGAATTGAATTGAATTGAATTGAAATATCTCAATAATTTGAAAATTGAACTCTGTAGTGTGTTACTTCAAATTGCTTTGTTGGAAAGGATGTATCTAAATCAGCAATAAATTGTAATGCTTTCTGAATAAAAAATGGAAGTTTAGGTCATGCCACAGTGTTGAGTCAAGCTCTCTGGAAATAATTTTAGGTGTATCTTAAATTCAATATAAAAGGATAGCCTGATTTTTAGATCGTTGCGTGTTAGAGGGGAATGAAAATTGTTCACCTCTTTATTTCTTTAGTATGTAAACACACATTTAAATAGCCATTAATAAAGGTACCTCTCAAAAATCTTTGAAGACGAAATAAATTATCACCATATATACACTGTGGCATGTCGTCGGAACCGAAAAACTGTATACACTCTTGGCACTAGACACTAGACTGCTTTAAGAACAAAGCAGCTATATGCGATATTGTGGATTTCTGGTCTCTTTAGAATGGATACTAACGGTCATGTAAAATTATGGCACTGATTAGGGCTTACAATCATCAATCACTAAATCACTAACGAGCTATCTTTTGTACCCGTTTTCAGTGACCGGGAACGTACCTTTCGCGTAATTACCGGCACAATTAGGAACACAGCACTTGTAAGGCATTTTGGAAACTTAGGGAAACAATTGCGAGACACAAATATACGTTTAAAACAATTTAAAGTTGAGGCAGCAAATATATATAGTCAACGCCAAACAAAGTGGCGTGCACGTCAGCACGATAAAAATTCCCCGACCTAATGCCTAGGTTTCTATCACAAACAATTGCTCTATTGCAGTTTCATATTAATGTGATATATAAATTGTAAAATGGTCATTACTCTCTTATTATGGTTAATAGTCATATAAACATTGTTATTAAAATATCACATAAGTTGCTTTCTGATAAATTTAGACGCATTATGCGAAATAAAATGTTTTGCAAATGCTCCAATCACTTATCGACATGTAAACGCACTAAACCGATTTCGCAGCGTTGACACATTGTCACCTTGAAACTTATTTAAACTGGGAACTGACATTTGTATTAATTTTGACACTGAATCAATTTGTGGCATTTCAAATCTTTATAAATCCTTTGGCCCCGCATACTGTAAATCAACAACTGTTTGTTTCAAAACAAAATTATTCATTTTACGAGTAGATAAAGGCAATTTTGGTATATAAAGATGCCCAAACAGTTAAATAGTCGGTGTAAGGAACTCGTGGCCTCGTTAATGCACTACTTTGAGCAAGAAAGGGACAACAACGGGCCTTTGTTGCCTTTAAATGCTGTTCAAGAGGTAGGTTACTAATAATTATATGTAATGTATATTAATAATAGTGAAATTTTATTTCATTTTTTGTAGCGTGTTGTAAGGACAGTTAGTCGTATTTCCGAGGGTGTGAAAAGTGATGCAAATTTAGAATCTCCCAAGAAAAAGCGGAGTTATATTAAACGTGTAACCAACACAGCGACATTGGATACAAGTGCCATTCGAGAAGTGATCTATAATATGTATCACAAAAGTAAGATCTTATTATAATAACTTATCAGAAATTTGCATTAATTTGTTAACTAAATTATAATGTCATATTACACATGGTTTCAGAAGAACAAGTTACGATACAAACTTTAAGGTCTCGATTAAGAGATAGGGCATTATTTGATGGTAGTGCCACGTCTTTAAGGCGGTTGCTTAGAGATCTTGGATTTAAGTGGCTTAAGGACAATCCGCGACGAGGGCTCATGGAACTACCAAGTATAGCTTTGAAAAGGGTGGAATTTCTAAGGCAATACAATCAAGCCAAGGTTGAGGCCTTATACCAGTTTGTCTTCCTCGATGAAACCTGGATATTTCAAAATGGGACTATAGGTCGCTCTTGGCAAAATGGAAACCAAAAAAGCGTGAAAGCTATTAAAACAGATGGTAAAAGGTATGTACTTTTACACAATTTGCACTATAAAATTTAAAACTAATATATTTTAGATACATTATATTACATGCTGGAAATGAAAATGGGTTTATTGAGGGTAGTGAAGCGATATTTTCTTCGAAAACAAAATTGAGCGATTACCATGGAGAGATGAACCAGGACAATTTTTTGAAATGGTTTCAACATCAGTTATTAGAAAAATTGGAGAGTCCATCTATGATTATACTGGATAACGCCCCTTATCACAGCATGATATTGAACAAAGTGCCCAACAATGCATGGACAAAAAAAAATATCCAAGACTGGTTGACAAATCAAAACATACCATTTTTAAACACAATGTTTAAAACAGAGCTATTGAGTATTGTTGCTCGGTACATAATGCTTCTTAATTATATATATTTTGGTCGACAGTTTATATTTCTTTTGTTTATTCCTATTCTTAAAATAACTGCTTTTTTAGAAACAAACCACCTAAAATATACGTGATTGATGAATTGGCGAAACAACATGGGCACAAAGTTCTTCGTCTGCCTCCTTACCATTGTACGTATATATTTAACCCTATTGAGTTAATTTGGGGCATAGCAAAAGGTTACTATAACAGACATATTGGTAGAGATGGTAACAGTGAAAAAGACTGTTTGGATATGTGGAACGAGGCTCTACAAACGGTTACCCCAGACATGTGGAAAAATAGTGTTCGACATACTGAGCAAGAAATTTTTAAATGGTATGAAAGAGAACGAATTTTTGATCGACCAGACATCGAACCTTTAATAATCAACTTTGAGAGTGATGAAGATTCAGATTCAGACAGCGCTGAAGAAAGAAACTCCGACTAACTTTATTGTACAGAAAAAGCTTACACCAGTAGCTTACCTAATTTTAGAATGCATTTTTCTGTATGAATTCTGTAAAATAAATACCATGCATAAAATTTGGAGGACCCCATTTGGATTTTTATTCAGTACCTTTAAGCTATCAATTAAATATGGTAGTTTCATAGTGTCATCTGATCAATAACTGTCATACTTAATGATTATGCAAGTACAGATCTATAATTTTATTATACTATTATTTTTGTTCTCATTTGAGGTTAATATTGCTTATAAACCTAGATATGTAAATAATAAATTTTATTATTTTACAAAAAGTTTGGCAACAATGTAAATTTTTCAAGACACCCACCTTGATGACGTGCACGCCACTTTGTTTGGCGTTGACTATACATTCATACATGATAACAGCCGAGAATTTGAGGTTAACTAGAGGGATGGCGATCTGAGATCGATTAATCGGAGAATCGATTTGCCAGGTCAAAAAATCGATATATAAAAATTAAAGGTGTCTTGTAGAAACACAGG